TGGGTGGATGGGTTAGCCTGGTGATGGGTATTAAAGAGGGCACATTCTGCGTGGAGCACTGGGTGTTATGCACAAACAATGAATCATGGGAACACTACATCAAAAACTAATGATGTAATGTATGGTGATTAACATAACAATAAAAATTATTTAAGAAGAATCTCTCCACTAACGTGAAATTCTATATATACAACTTGCTTTCAGTTGGATGTATGTGTGGTTGTACATGAGACAGACAGACATAGATTATATTCATATATATTCACAAACACTGGTTTTTTGCAGAATTATACACAGATATATTATACATAGTTTATTAATGGCAGCTTGGGAATTTTGAAAACTTGTCAGTAAAGAATTACTTTTTAAAATATGTAATAATATGTAGTAAATACTGAAAAATGACATCTGCTCAAGACAAAGAATATACTTAAACAAAGGTAGATAGTTTTCTGTAAAGATCACTGTGTTCCATTTGATTCAATCTGACACAAAATACTAGTTTTACTGCTCATTATGGGAAGATCGCCTTAAAATACAGAATGCCATAAAAAAGTGCAGTTTTTTTAAAAGTTCAACCATTTTTCTTAGTTTACACTTACTCTTTGTAACTCCCATTTCTCAATAAGGTGTTCTACTTCACCACCAAGAACTGTGGTGTTAGAGTCATTCAAGAGCAGGAATCCATTTTTTATATCCACAATGCCTGAGAGCTTCACTTTAGTTCCAGGTGGTGTGTTCAGGCTAAAGCAAAGCAAAGCAAAAAAAAAAAAAAAAAGAGGGGGAGAAAGAGAGAGAGAGCGAGAGTTAAAACACACTGAAGCTCCTTCCCCAAACTCGAATTCAGTCCTGAACCTGGTCAAGTTCTTCAAAACATACTCATACATAAACTTTTTTTTTCAGGAAACTGGCTATATAGTGCGAATAGATTACCTATAGGAAAGAGGTCAGAAGACCAGGTCCAAGGCTGTCATTTTTTACCTTACTAACAAATGAACTTCAGGTTCCCCATTAAAAAAAAGAAAACAAACGTGGACAATAAAAATCACACCTCACAAATTTGTAGTAAAGATAAACAGAACAAAAGATATGGAAGTACCTTCTCATGCCATACATGGCATGCTGTACAAATGGAAGAATTGCCATTTTTCCCTGAGCTTTGACTATGCATTGCAAAGATATACTTTGTGCAAATTAAATTTCAATACACAAAAAGATATCTGACCAGTAATAATCCTAGAAATTTTACATCTATATGAGCTACCATAATCCATACAAACAATGCTTTTTGTTAACCATCTAGTTAAAGATCAAATGAGAATTATTTACTTTAAAGTTTGATTTAATTTGAACTTGTCTGTAATAGGCTAAATATTATCAGACTTAGGGAAAACAGTACACCATGGCCCCTTTTACAAAAACCAGAGACAAAATGTTTATCCCCCTACCAACTGTTTGTTAAAAGAAACAGTGGAAGGAACCATTGCATTACTGAGATTTATTCTAAAATAAAAGCACAGATACTGAGTCCCGCCCCATCTCTTTGCACATGCAGCAAGGGATAAAGTACTCTAAATAGGAGTAAAGGCTATTCTCATACACTTAGGACAAATTAGAAAATCAGGCTGAAAGGGCTTCACATGGTCCACATTTTTAAAGCTCAGGATATTTACCATGTGCTGATATATGCAACAGCAAAATCAGTGAAAGCACTGATATCACTGGTCTATTTTGAAGAAAGATGGCTTTAAAACAGTATTAACAAGAAGAAATAGAACACTCCTGTTTTTAAAGCCTCAAAGATCTCATAGAAAGTAAGACATTATCTGGTAAAAACTATTCTGAAGATCCCAAGCTTTGTCATCACATATAACTCATAGAACAAATAGTCATAAACAGCTATGCCTAACCTAACCCTTAAGTAGAGAGCTCTGTGGTAGTAAATTAGAATATTTATCAGACTTCAGTATCAGCAACAATTGAATACAGTTACACTAAGTGAAGAGGTTTTTCCCAATTTCAGGCAATCAGCAGATTCAGATTTTCATAACTCTGTATCATCATTTAAGGATTAAAAGAAAGTCTCAACTACAGGATGCTATACTCTTTAAAGAAACTATTATAATTACTGAATTGTATCATTTACATAAAACTTATTGTTCAAAACCATTTTTAGCCAATAATTTCTTACAAATTGGTGATATTGGAAAATGCAATGAAAATCTAGAAACAAATTAGCAATAAAACTACATAAGAACTTAAAAGACTGGATGCAAATTACAGGGACATTTAAGTTGTGATAATATAACTTTAAAAACTAATCTGAAAACAAATGATAAACTAATTTTTGTATAAAATGACTGTACCTTTCTCAAACTCTCCCTAACAGGATAAGAGGAAAAAGTTGTCAAATTATTTGAAGATGTACTTAAAATTTCATTAGGATAACTGATAAAAAATCCCACTCATCACATTAAATGATAGTTCTATTTCCACAAAAAGATAAATATGTGTTAAAATTTTAACATAATTTTTAATACATCACCTTCAGGGCCCTAACTAACCCTTATTCAGAGAGCATATTTTGGCTTAATTATTATTTTTATTGGCACCCCAAAGTGCCTCTACTCTCTCTTCAATGCAATTTTTAAAAAACTATAACAAGACAAATAAACACAAAAACAATGAGAACTGGGTGTTTAAAAGTTGAAGCCAATCAGGAAGTGGAACAGAAGAGCTGAAAAAGCACCCCAGAGAAATGCAATGTCCACTGAAGGCAACACAGTCCATATTAGATCCTGGTGTATCCTCTCTAGTGAGTTATTCTACTTTGCTTCTAAGATAACCACTACTAACCAATATTACTTCGATAAAAGTCTCCCAAATGTTCACATGTAAAAACAGTTCTGCAGGCTGTTGCTTTTACAGCAACAAAAGTAGACATGCTACTTCAATGGTGAGTCAGTGAGCAAATGGTAGTATTTTTTTTTTCAATTGTCAAATTGCAATAAATTCAACAAAAGAAGACAGTTAACAAACTCTCTGGACAACCTTGTGTTTTCATTTAGCTCAGAGAAATACACAGCAGTAAAAGCAGAGAGGGGGCCATTACACAGCAAGTCTTTCTGAGTCATTTGTGAACTCCTTTGTAGGGGGGTTTGACTGAATTTGTCAGAGGAGAGGCTTTCTCCACAAAAGCAGGAACTCTTCCACTCTTCAAAAAGACAACAGGGGCACCTGGGTGGCTCAGACGGGTAAGCGTCCAACTCCTGATCTCAGCTGAGGTCTTGATCTCAGGGTTGTGAGTTCTAGCCCTGCACTCCATGCTCAGCATGGAGCCTACTTAAAAAAAAAAAAGACAACATAATACAAAATCAACAAAACCTGCTTTGTATATAAAAATCAGTATTTTAGACAAACATATATCTTCTAAGGAAGGAAAGAGGCAAATACAGGTTGAAGGAAGAATAAAAAAGAAGGGAAATCACTGAGCATGGCTTTGAGGCCTCAACCTATCACATTTCTTCCCATATACCACCATCCCAAACCGCCAAAGCTCTTCAGGACACCACTTCTCTGCATGCACTATTCCCTCCTCTCACCATTCTCGAAATACCTGTTCATATTTTAAGTCTTATTCCTGGCTCCCCCCCAGCAGAGTTAATTTTCTAGACTCCTAATCTTTTTTTATTTCCTTTTTTTTTTTTTTAAAGATTTTATGTATTCATTTGTCAGCGAGAGAGAGCGAGAGAGCAGCAGGCAGAGGGAGAAGCAGGCTTCCTGCCAAGCGGGGAGCCTGATGCAGGGCTCGATCCCAGGACCCCGGGATCATGACCCGAGCTGAAGGCAAACGCTTAAGGACTGAGCCACCCAGGCGCCCCGACTCCTAACCCTTTTAGTTGACATATTTATTATAACTTATATGCCTATGAGCCTACCTCATCAGGAGAGGAGCTATTTGAGGGCAAAAATCTAAACTCATACGTTGTTGGTAGAAATGTAAATTGGTCCAACCACTATGGAAAGCAACATGAAGATTCCTCAAAAAACTAAAAATAGATCTACCATATAATCCAGCAATTCCACTTCTGGTATACACCCAAAGGAAATGAAGGATTTTGACCACAAATACGTACTCTCATGTTTACTGCAACATTATTCACAATGGCCAAGATATGGAAACCACTCGAATGAATGGATAAAAAAGATGTGGTACATATACATAATGGAATATTATTCAGCATGAGAAAGGAGAATATCCTTCCATTTGCAACAACATGAATGGACCTTAAACAATTATGCTAAGCAAGATAATTCAGACAGAGAAAGACTGTATGATATCATTTATATGTGGAATCCAAATAAGTTAAACCTGTAAAAAGAGAATAAAATGGTGACTACCAGGAAATGGTGGGGAGAGATAAGATTAAAGGTGTTTAAGAGTACAAATCTGTAATGAGTAGTAAACAAGCCACAGAGATCTAATACACAGTATAATAAAAACAGGCAACAATATACTATAATTATGTAATATGATAAATGCTGTTACATTAGGGATCATAATATATAAGGGTATCAAAGTAAAATGTTGTACAATTTAAACTTACACAATGTTACACATCAAATTTATGCAAATAAAAATAAAAACTTCTCATAAAAATAGCCAAAAGAAGAATTTGGAAAATTGTTCCTTATAGTGTTCCTTGTCCTCTCAGAAAGTGGAGTGGCACATGTCTCTAGCTTCAATCATTTCCTAGGAAAACTCATTTGTCCTTAAACTTTCCTAGTGTGCTGGACACAGCTGTCAAAGAAGAAATGGTAACATATTCAGATAAATTGTTTGTTCTTGGAAATTTTTGAATGACCTAAAATTTACTGAAAAAAAAAATGGAAGTGATTACTTTTCTTACAAAAACACCTCGAATTTTTTTAAATAATTAACATTTAAGGAAAGAGTAACTCCATTCCTATTTTCCTATATAGATAAAGTAGAAATTTAAATTCTTTAATTTCTTTTGAAAAATTGTAACAGGTTCTTATAATAGTTCATTCCTTCTTTCTAAAATTCCTAAAACAAAATCCATTTTGAATAGCATCTTCACACTCTGTAACAAATACACAAATTAAAGTGTCAATCACCTTATTTTTGACATATAACTAAATTCCACAGCTGTGCAACTTATATGCCCATCAGTCATCTGCAAACGCAGCATTCTTGGTGCAGCCTGAGATTCTTCATTGTCCTTCGGTGCAGCAACATTGCGAATTTTTTGAATTTGCAAAACACATGGACCTTCAAGCTGTCAAAACACAAAGGAATAAATATCACTTTCTAGCCATGGCTTTGTTTTTCATTTATTCTGTTTCTCTCTTCCTTAATGGTCATACTTAATGATTTATAATAATTTCAATTAAATAAGTTCAAAAGTGAAATTATATAACACACATCAGGGTTTTGGGGGATTTAAAGATAAAACTTCAAAAGGGTGTTCTGAATTCATTAATTCTGAATGCATTTTCAGAAAGTAATGAGAAAACTTGAGGCAAACAAAGTTGTATTTCTGGATTAAAGGTGTATTAACAGATGTTTTTAGTATTATGTGCTCTAAATTATTCACATGCCCCCCCACCCCATCTTCTCCCATGTAATTAAGGGACATGGAATTAAAGAATTTGGTAATTTTTTAAGGGACATCAACTTTACAGCACCAGTTGGAAGGAGTGTTTACTGTTTATTTTTATTTTATTTTTTTAGGAGTGTTTACTATTTAAAAACATCAGGTTTAAAGTACACCCTCTTCTGGCATTAATGAAGGATACAATACTCCAAAATTTAAACCATATAAAGTTCAAAAAGTGTGAGCTGTATTTATGTTCACATTATCTTTTTAAGTAAATTTAAATCTAATGCTGTATTACATGCCTGGCACTAAAGAGAAGAAATGCTCCCTCTGGCCACATTTCAATCAAAGCCAAAAATAAAACTGATGGACTAACCAGCTCTTAAAAAATTTTATTTTAAAAATAAAATGCCCATGATATAATTGGGAAATGCTGGTAAAATCTGTTTACATGGCTGAAAAATAACTTTGTCACAAAGTCATATTTTCCATATTATAAAATATACCTTTCAGTAGTATCATACCTCCAAAGGGGAAAAAAAGGCTACTTTTTTGTTACATGGTGTTAAGTAAAATCTTTCCGTGCATATTAATGTAATTTATATTTTCAGCAAAGAAAAATGTGAAATGATTGACATTTATACTTAATTTCTTGAGTAAGCATGTCCCAAATTGACAAATTTCTACTTCATATTTACCAGTATTTTGCCTATAGAGGAATAATTTTGTTATAAATTTAGTCCTAAAGAATATAATTAGAAAAAAGAGACTAAAATTTCAACTAATTTTCAGTTATTAAAAAAAAAAATTCCAAGTTAAAACAAGTCCAAAACCTTTAACAAGTACAGATCAGCTGTGAATTCAGGATGAACCTTTCCTTTTGCTTTGTTAATGCCATTAAAATAAGGACATTTAAATGAAACCATAGGCAGGCTATAGTTATTATAATGTTTATCATTCTCTTTATTTTACTACTCCTAATATTTTTAGCTTAGACATTGATGAATATACAGCTTGTGCTGTCCAATATGGCCCACCACCCATATGCAACTACTTAAATTTATATTTAAATTAATTAAAATTAAATGAAATTTAAAATTCGACTCGTAACATTAGCTATATTTCAAATGTTCTGTATCTGAAAACACAGATATAAACTGTCTACCTCACTACAAAAAGTTCTATTAGACCATCAGTGATCTAATCTATGTGTTCCAAAGTGAGACTCATACATCCTAGGGAGAGTACATCCATTGAATTGTGACAGGAAAACTTTTGCTTCTGTTTAACTCTTACTAAGAAAAAAATTAAACTTTCCTAGTATTTCTTATCCAGCATGACAAGGGCACCCTAACTCGGTCATATGAAATACAGATCACAATGTATCTTTATGGAATTGGGGAGTTCTACAACCCCTGAGGGTTGACAGGACACCTTTGCTGGTTTTGCTTGCTTTCAATGTGTTGTAATAAACTGCCTTTTATTTGTGTGCAGTTCAGTGGATATATAGATTATATTACCTAGTTTTAACCATTAATGATAACAAAATAGACAAGTATAAACCTACTTTAAGATTCTACCAAAGAAACATAAATTGAAGATAATGTCAATGACACAAACACAGGGTTGATCTCCTACATCCTAGTTGACCATGAACGAGTACAAAAAGCTGGGGAATGCTAGGAAATAAGACCTGTCCCCAGCTCCTAGTATTTCCTAGCAAGCAACAAGTTTACTTATTTAATTACTCCAACCTGGCCTCTCTAGTCCTTTTAGTGGATTGAATAGTGGCCCCTCCAAAAGATACATCTACCTGGAACCTGTAAAGTAACCTCATTTGGGAAAAGGGACTTTGCATACATAACTGAGGTCAGGATCTAAAGATGAGATCATCCTGAATTAGGATGGGCTGGAAATCCAATGATGAGTGTCCTAACAAGATAAAGGGACATAAACACACAGTATAAATACACACAGAAAGATGCAGGCTATAAAAGCCATGTGGAGATGGAGGCAAAAATTGGAGTTTCACAGCTACAAGGCAAGGAATGTCAAAGACTGCCCACAGCTACCAGAAGTTAGGAAAGAGGCATGAAACAGATTTTCCCCTCAAGCCTCCAAAAGGAACCAAACCTGCTAACACACTGATTTTAGACTTCTGGCCTACAGGACTGTGAGAGAATAAATTTCTGTGTTTCATGCCACCAAGTTTGTGGTAATTTGTTACAGGAACCTTAGGAAACTAATATACTTGCTCATGGAATGACTTATCTGGTTGGGAAGAATATATTGTATATACTGGGTTCATTCTCCCCCTTCTTTTTCTTGGGATCTAGCTAGGAACTCTGAGGTAGGAGGTATTGACTCAGGCTCTTCACTGGATTGACACTACCATGAAGGAGTGTGTTAAGTCTGCCTGGTTTGTGGTTCAGTGGGTCCATAAACCACATCTTTCAAAGTAATTCTCATCAATAATAAAGTTGACATTTTAGCCCACATCTCCCACACTTTACTTCTCAATTGATTCAAAAGCAAAGTGGAAAAGGAGGCACTATTTACTAGACTCTTCTTAGAAGAGTTTACAATCTTTTCATAGTCACTTCTCAATGTGAATCATCAAGCCTTAATATTAGTGATTCCACAATTCAGAAATGTTCTATAAGTAAGCCAACAGATAAAAAGAATGTTTTCATTCTTATGTTTACAAAATTCAGTTTATTATACTCTGTAGTAAACAAAACATGTAAGTATGGGACCTAAATAAAACACAAATAGTAGAATAAAATACTATAGTTCTAAGATTACAAATCCTAACTCTAAACCCTGAATCTAAAATCATCTAAAGGTGGGGCACCTGCGTGACTCAGTCAGTTGGGCATCCAACTCTCAATTTTGGTTCAGGTCAGGATCTCACGGTCATGAGATTAAGCCCAGCTTTGGGCTCCACGCTCAGTGGGGAATCTGTTTTCCCCTCGCCCTCTGCCTCCCCGCCCCCAACTCGTGCTCTCTTTCTCTCTCTCTAAAATAAATAAATAAATCTTAACAAAATCATTTAAAGGCATCCACAATACTGAATGAAAATTAACCTCAAAATCTGTGCCCAACTAGTGTCAAGGGCAATCCCAAAGTAAAATAAGATATAAATTTTAAATGAAAATAATAAAAAAAAAAGATTAATCTTTACACCCAAGATTTCTTCTTCTTTTTTGGGGAGGGAGGGGCAGAGAGAGAGAGAGAGAGAAAGAGAGCGAATCTTAAGCAGGCTCCATGCCCAGCATGGAGCCCAACGTGGGGCTTGATCTCATGACCCGGAGAACATGACCTGAGCCAAAATCAAGAGTTGGACGCTTAACTGACTGAGCCACCCAGGCGTCCCACCCAACATTTCTTTAATGTCTGATTTTCTCTTTTGCATGAGTAATAAGGAACAAGTAAAAGAAATTACTGTAAAAAGTTTAAATAGGTAAGAAGAATTCATCATTGTCTCTCCAGGTAAAGATTTCTCATCATAATAAATGATATCAACTATCTGCCAGAAATATTATCTGAGGCCAAAAAAATTCACCCAGGCTTCATTCCTTCCTCTCCTTAGAAAGATGGACACCTCTGTCATCTGAACTCCTAACCAGTCATATAAACTGATATGCAATACCAGATTTAAATGGCTCTATTAGTTTATTACTTTATTGATATTAAATAGCATTCCTGTTTATTAGTGAGACTCTCCAAAGGCTGGATGACATGGAACCAACCAGTTATCTACAGTCTGATCACACCTGGAAAACAGATTTTTCTTTAGGACTCTAGAAACCATCCAAATTTAGACAGTCTGTGATACTGTGAAACATCTGCTAGCCATTTCTTTTTATAATCTTATCAATTTCCTTGAGAAATAAATTTCCTCCATCAATACCTAACAACATAAGCACCAGATTCTCCATCAAACCTAGACATAGGGCCTATGAGTGTATTAATTATGAAGGATCTATGAGTATGATTAAGTTCTGATCAATTTTCCAATATTATTGCAAAGTGGGTTAAAATTAACAGACTAAAAAGTTTCATCCTCCACAGTCCTTTTAAGTACTTAAAATCATAATTCATTTCATTCTCTATCACTACTTTCAAAGCATTTCCAGTAGTGGCTTCAATAAGATTCCCTAGGGTTCATTTTTTCATTCACTTATGTCTGGAGAAGTTTTTTTTTGTTTTGTTTTGTTTTTTTTGTAGAATGTCTAGAGAAGTTTTTGACTAGACCATTCACATCTCTACCTTAGGATCTAAGCAACTGGACAAATGATTCCAGAAAGCTGCCTTGGAAGAAGAAAAAGTTGTTCCACTTTAGCTACTTTAAAAGCCTGATTTAATGATTTAAATGATTTAAAATCATTTATGATGCTCTCTTTTTTAACCTACTTCTTTGCCCTGTCAGAACAACTCTTAATATCATTTTAACAAAATTTTATTTTAATAAACATGAGGATGGGGCAGGAAAAGACCACAGGGGAAAAAAGTATGATTTTTCACACCCTGTACTATTTTAAGGATAATATCAGACTCAAGAAAACTAGAATGAAAGACAACTATCTATACAATGTTAGAAATTTCAGAACATTCCTCACATTATCCATTCAGCCATCTATGGTAAATCTCAATTTGGTGGACATTTTCCTCCAGAG